CGCGTGCAAGCTGAAATGGTTAGTTTTTGATTAAATGAACATTATAGGTTTCTTCTGGTCATTACTTGTGTTTCGCCACTCTGCAACTTACGAATTTTAGAAATTGTCAACCATTAACAAACTGATGATTGTTATTTTGCAATTGTACGTAATTTACGTTGTTGTATTTTAAAGAAAAACAACAGTAACCAGTAAAAACCCTGATAAAGCAAAGGTATGCTTATGTACTCCATCGCTTTTAAATACCACAACTCTGAGTACTGTTATTGTGGAGGGAAACAACTGACACCTACTAGGCTAAAATACCGCGACAATTCAGCACCAGCGCTATCGTAGTTTTTTGTAGGACTTTGTAAGTCATGGGTTATGAATCGTTTTAGGATACATACCCATATAAGGTCCATACCTGAAATCATGCAATAATGTATTTTCAGTGTAACTCTAATTCGTTAAATTTAAAAGTAATTAAACTTAAAGGTTTTACCATAGCAGAACACGGGAGCAATTTGTCAATTTGTAACATAAATATTATGGAGACTTTACGTTAAAATGCTACGCGCTATCAAACCTATGTACACTTTATAGTATAGACACATCCAGGTACTTCTGTTAAAAATATAAGTAATGTAGTTAAGCAAAGAAACATATAAACCCATACATTTCAAGAATTAAATAACAGATTGCATGTAAATATTTCCTTTCATGATTTTGCAAAAAATCCTTAAAAATGCACCAAAGTCTTGTAAATTTAAGTTAAAATATTAGTTAAAGAAAATAAAATGCATGCCAGAAGCTTTTACAGTAAACGCTGTTTTCTGACTGAAATGTTTTCTGTTTTAAGATTAATCTAAGACAAGAGATGATAAATCAAAGCAAACTCCTTTGGCGTACTAAATATAAGCAAAAACTGCGCCATTTTAACTTATTTGGTAATAGCGAAACAGGACTAGGAGCACTACGTAAGCTGTTATCTGCGAATTGTTATGAACATTCTTGTTCTTGGCACCTTATTTCGTGTAAAATTATTATGAATGTCAGCACACAGGGTAAAACCCGCAGTAGTTTCCATTCCGGCAAAGTTATCACTTACTATGTAACACGTAAAACGCTGAGGTTCAAGCTAGGCATTGTTGTTTGGCCTAGAATATTTGATCGAGATCAAATAGTCTACTCAGAAGGTTACTAGTATAACTTATAGTTTAAAACTGGATACGGCACTGTTGTTATTATATTCAGCAAACATGCGCACTTAAAATACGTTAAAACCTTGATGAAACCATACGTGTAATATAAACGGAGCATTTTATTTATGTTCATCACATTTTTAACTGCACACAAAAGGAATACGTTATCAAGTAGTACCTAAATAGATTTTAGGACGGCGTTTGTGCATCAGGGGTAAGGACAAGTTTATCAACTGCCTGGTGCTGCATCCATTTTTACAAACAATTAGACACAAAGAACTTAGCTACTAACCAAAACTATATTTTTAGTGTCAAGATTAATTTGTTGATTGTCACGCTTCTTTAGAACGGCATAGTTTTGTTAAATAAAGACCCCCCTGAAAAGACTGCGCTTATCATCAGTCACCCAGTCAATTTTATATGGCAAAAATGAAAATACTTGCAGCAATCACAAAACCACCTAACATAGTGCAATGCTATCATTACAGTAGGTTGCCGGACATTAAACGAGGATTTATGAGCAATGGTTCTTTCTTACAGCGGATTGGCGGTCTATATAAAGGTTATACGAAGTTTAAAGTGTCACATACGAAGTCCACGCAAGAACTCACTGCAAATCTTTGCCTTACATCCTCTCAGCACCATCTTCTAGTTGCAAACATATAGAGTGTCTCATATTTTCGTACGGTATGCACGCAGAACTGCATGCATCTTGTATATAACAATACTTCTTACTAACTTGGCAACTGTCCTTGGCCTATCTGTAAGCGGGCTTATATCTGGTAATATACCATGCATAAAAGCGGCGATTTATTAGCAAGTCCTGTACAAATAAGTACTAATTATGTGGAATATTTTGAGTACCACGTCCGACAATTATGTAGGTCTGCAGATATTTTCAGCTTATGCTGACAAGTATTTAGAATAACCGTCGATGCTATGGAAGGGAACATGCATAGCAAAATAAGAAGCTAGGAGGATATATGACCGATAATATAACAGTTGAACAATCTAATAGCAACAACGGCAATCAATAGAGCAAATTTAGCCGCAAATTTAAAAATTTTGTATCCTCGATTCGAAAGATTTTGGCAAAATACTAAATAACATACCTTCAACACTTTGTCTATACTATAAAATTTACCGCCAAACAAAAAGTAAAGGACCTAATACGCTTATGGTGAACTTTTCTTTTCTTTTCAATTAGGGTTGATAAAGTGTCGCATAGTTAAATAGAGTTTTAAGCCGGCATGGCTAAAATAAGTACTTAACAAGTCACTTCATAACTGCTTGCTTAAACATTTTTCCTTTACTTAAGCCATTGGATTCCTGTAATAATTTCGCCTACGCTATAAAGTAAATTAAACGGCTCAATTTCTAAGCTGGTTTGTTGGTGCCACAACGGTTTTACTTATTTGGAAACCCGATCAAGTTAACATATTATAAATTCTGTGTCACACTGTACATTAAGTAAGTACTGCACAATTAGGAGGCCCGTAAGACTATATTTTGTGTTTAATTATACGACCAAAACGTTTGCTCCTTGCACAAAAGTAATCCAGCAAATGTGTCTTATTTAATCCTTGGTAGCCTCTGTAAAAGTTCGAAAAATCATTTCCTATTTGTAACTTAACTTGGATTTATAGTAGTTAATATTATCTAACACCTTGTAAGGCAAACATATTTAGACAACCTCACTACGAATAAGACGTTAGTTTGAGCTTGTTGACAGTAAATACCAGGCAAACTACCCGCGGATTTATTGTAACTGTGCCAGTTTATATGGTTGATAATACAGATTACCTTAGCAGAGTTCTTTACTGCATACTCGACATGCATAAATAATACATTACTCATTTCTTATTAAAAGTTGAACTTTTCAAGATGCCATAAAATCGACGTGATCAAGACCTACTAAAAAGTTTAGTTGTAATTGTGCTATTAATTTTACTAACACTTTTCTTGACGTTTTTAACAAAACCAACTGCTCAACTGCATATGGTAAGATTGCTGCTTTTGCTGTTATCTTATTGTTTACGGATATCCTTTACGATGATTCACTATTAAGGCTTACTTTACGCTCAAATTTAAGAAGCATATTTCTACGTCAGACAAAGAGCTGTGTATCTACGGTTATTTCATTGGTTCATACTTAAATAAAACTTTTACCTATGCCTTTTAGTTTGTGCATGTGCCATTGTGTGCTACCTATTTGAAAACAAAACTTTGTTTATGTTACGCACTTGGTAATATTCTCATTATTATGCAAAAGGGTAAATAGTCTTGATAACTGGTTTTGTCACTAATTTTGAGCCACAGACTAAGTAAGACAACATACGAGTAATTTACGCATTTATATCGTTTTGCGGATGCCTTATTCTTTTAACTAATGGAAGCAAGCAAATATGAGACTTCCCATTGCAGGATAAAGCTACATAGCAAATTTAGCTTCACACTTCCAGCTTGACAGCTCTGTTTCAATATAAACGCATTGTGTTCTTATTTTGAGTTTGTTTCAATAATGAGGACCACATTTGCTTTAGCTCTCAATTCTTTATCCACGGTTCCTTACATTTTGCAACTTTATCCAATGAAATGTGTTGAGTTAGGTTTGTCAGTAGGACGTTAACGAAGTAGATTGTTAAACTTGATTTAAAACGCTTCATTTAGTCTTAACTTAAAAGATGTGTTGCATTTTAGCTGATTGTGCGGTTAGTTAAGTGCTTAGGAGTAGTTTGTTTTGACTAAGTTTACGCACGCAGTACCATAATTGAGTCTAATTTATAACTAAGAACAAGGTTGCGTAGTTTCTATCAGTTGGCTTATACAAGGCATATTAACACCACACAATTATACAATAAACGAATCTTTGAGGCTTTCATGATGAGATAATATCTTCCTACAAATTTTATTTACCATCTATCCCTGAAAACAATCGGAGTTAAGCCCATGCTGTAGGCATGCTGGCATCCGTCCGCTGCATCGTTTCTATGCCCAATGTTTAGTTCGTTGTCTAGCTTGAATGTGCTAAGCGTGTGTTTGATGTTACAACGTTGTTTAGCAGGGTAACAAACAGCAAACAATTAGTACATCAAATAGTTCTCATTCAATAAATGAATTAGTTAAATCTAATGGAGCTGCAAGTGAACATGTATTTTTATAGCGCAACACAGCTAACCCGTTGAATATTCCCTGGTGCATAGGTGGTATGCCTGTCACTTGCTTGGCAAATGTTCACGGTTGTTGCAATTAGCGTAGTGCCAGATTTGTGTGTTAGGAATCGGGACAGGGGAAAAGCCCTTGAATGATACCACAAATAGAGCAGTAAAGTAATTTACCAGTTTGCAGGATAATATACATTTGCCTCAAAAGGATTAACCTGCTAAATGTTATTCAGTATGCGGTGGTCATAGCTAAAACGAGAGGAAAATCGTCGCCAAACGCGTAGGTAAAGTGTTAGCTGCATAAAGTATTCAGAAACGCACATTGACGCATTTAATTACGAGCAAATATGTATACCACCAGTTTCTATATGTCACAAAATCTTACCAAATTCCATGAATGCTGATACCACACAACCGGACGAGAATAAACTCTTTTATCCTCGGCCTACTAGATATAAATTGCTTGGTGCCGTCAGCCAAAGTAGTGTGATGAAATTTCTAAGTTTAAAATAGATGCTGGAACTAATTTTAATTAGAAGGAAACCAATGTATAAACCAATACATTGATTTACGAAGAAATTCTAGAGGTATATTAGAGAAAAGTTGCAACATTTGTATCTTAATTAAAACGTCATTAAAACAGCTGACGAACCATAACCGTGTACAGAAAAAGGCATTGTGCTGGAAATGAGAATAAACTTATTATTTACTGTATGTACAAGTTGGTGGATGTACAAAAAGCTTAGATTGCAAATGGTTAGTTAGAGTATTTCTAATTAGATTGCAAAGCTAACCATACGCCAATGCTTTAGTAAAAGGCAGAATATTCAGATCTGTTTCATATGCTTGTATACACACAAAACTACGTAAACCAGAGTTTTAATACTTCATACAATTGTTGTTTACTCTTACGCTGTTATATTTAATTAAACCTTGGTTGCATTAGACCAGTTGATTAGACCACAAGGATAAGCATCGGAGCGTTCGATTCCGCAAGGACGAAAAAGTGCTCGTCAGGCGGTAGCCATGCAGTACAAGTTTGACGTAACAACTGAGTGTTTTCTATAAGCTGAACCGATTTTTAGTTGATTTTCATCACTGCAAGCTTGAAAAGTTGCTGTTCTGAACATTAAGAGGTATCGATTTTTCCGCGCATAATTACGTAGCCTAAGCAATATTCAAAAACGTTAAGATTAACTTTTATAACTTTTTAAATCAATGAATAATATAGCATTGTTAAATAATGTAGCACAAATAATTATACAAGTATCGTAAAGGATGTTTTATGGAGTCATCTATAGAACTCCCTGCAGCTTGTGATCCCGTCATTGAGCAAACAAACCGTCCCGAGAACGCGTTAATCGTGAAATTAAACTCCCGCTTTTCTTAAGGTTACTCAGAAACAGATCTTGTATAGTCAAACAAAGTAGCAAATATGCTTTGATTGAATAATTTCAGGTGTTTACGTGTTAGCGGTTGAATGTTATTTTTTAAAAGTAGTGTGTTTACAACGTAATCCGAAAGTTTTATGCTTTCACACCAAGTCGCCAGAGGATTTAATACCGGACCGGGACTCTCACATCTGAGATTTGCTTAGCGGCGGGTTTGGTTCGGTAGGCATGCTAGGCCAACTGGAGAGGTTGCCATTAGATGGCGGTTTGCATATACATATATATATATATACATATATATATATATATATATATATATATATATATATATGTATGTATATATATATAGTACAAATAGGTACACCTGGTGTATGTTTTGTATTGAAGGAGGTTAATGTTGTTCTCATAGTTAGTTGTTGTGATAGACTACAGGGGTATTGGAAATCACTTGGCGCCACACTTGCAACTATCATCATGGTGGATGAATCTAAGCGATTCTGGCTTTTGGTGCGTACCATTATCGGAAACTTGATGAGGTTGAGTCCGATGTAAAGAGATTTGCAACTGCCACAGCTTTTTGCAAGCATACGGCTGTGACTCCGCAGCATCATGAACGGCGAAGTTGGAAGGGGTTGCCAAATAAGTTCCCGTACCAGTTCGTGCTGTATCCCTGTGTTCATGGCAGGCGTAGCAACGTTCCTGGGAAACTGTAAGTTGATATTTTACGGTATAATAAATTCTACACCGTTACAGGATGCTGATTGCTGAACCCATTTCTCATTCAATCTGAATGTTGAATTTTACGAACGAGGGGAATTGCATTTGTGTCATTGTCATCGTTTCCATTTTGGGGAGCCATGGCTATATCTACAGAACAGGCGGTTGACGGAGACGCGGGAGAAAGAGGAGTTTCCCTGATGTCCGTGTTCAACCTGCCAGACACTAGCAAGTTGTCAGATCCTGCATCTATTTGTTCACTGTGGAATGTCAGTTTACCTGTTAGCAATGACCTTGGTAGTAACGAACCCTCAGGCAGCGTGTTTGATTCGGCTGTAGGCGAAGGAGAGCAGCAGGTCTCTGCCCTTGTCAAAAGAAAGCGAAAGAGGGTTAAAGAAGCGGCAAAACCCATGGCGGACATGAGAAATCCGTCGGGCGCCCATTCCCACCTCAAATGTTACTACTACGGAATCGTTGCAACTGGAAACATATAAGACACTAGAGTCTATAAAAACGGACACTAAACTGAAACCACCGACGTCCGTGGAGCGTTCGGTAAATACGCCGCGTCGCGGAGACTCGTATACCGACTGCAGTGTTATTTTCAAAAACGCCACTGAGTCTTGTACTGTTTTCCAAAAGACCGTATGTTAGATTACCTTTAGTGGTTTAGAATATGCGTTACGGAATTCCTGCCTCCCGGCTTCCCCGGCGTGACTGTGCGCAAACTAACCAGACTCGGTAACTTGCCAGCCGACAAGTCTCGCCCTCGCATTTTGCGAGTTGTTCTGTGCACTGCGGAGGAGCGCCAAGCACTTCTGCGTTTCGTCTTTAAGCTCAAGGGCATTGGTGTCATTGTGCACCCAGACCTCCCTTTGGCGGATAGGTTGAAATTGCGCCTTTTCTACAAGCTGAATTCCTGTGGTATTTCCGGACCAGTCTTACGATTGATTTCAGCTTTCCTAATCGTAAGGGAAATATGTGTGCGGGTGGGTTCAAGCCTGTCCTTCTGGCAATGTGTTCTCAGTGGCGTTCGGCTGGGTCCGGTTCTTAGCCCCCTTCTCTTCCCTTTATACGTTAATGACCTACCTGATGAATTGGGTGTGCCATCCCTAATGTTTGCGGATGGCTTGAAACTCCTGTTGGCGATAGACGAGCCGATTGGTCTACTGACCCTACAGAGGGCTCTGGATAGACTTTGGGACCGGTCAATCTTGTGTCAGTTGCCTGTGAATTTAACGAAATGCTCGGTTTTACTCGTTGGTCCGAATGACCCGCCCACGCGTTATTTGCTTGGCGGCAACGGGGTACCGCGATTTCACCTTCAATCTGACCTCGGTGTTTTGCTGGCATCCAGTGAACACTGGACGACAACTGCTCGCAAAGATTTCAACATGTTTTGGATGATCCGCAGGTAATTCATGATCATGACCACCGAAATGTTCGTTAGACTGTTTTCGGCATTTGTGGTGCCGCACTTGTAATACTATGTCCAGGATTGTCCTCCATATCTGGTTCGTGATAAGATGGCAGTTGAACGAGTCCTGCGGTCAGGGACGAAAATGTTGCACGAATTAAAGAAGCTGACGTACCCGGAGAAGCTACATAATTTGAATAGGTTTTCTATGTATTACATATGGTATACTGATGGGTCAGGTTGATCCCGATTTGACTGGACTGTTTCGCCCAACTCGACTGCCAACCGTCCGTGGCCATCTATTAAAGTTGCACGAACACCGGTCTGTCCGGGTTTGGGCAGATTTTCGGTTATCGCGTAGGGTTATAGCTTATTGGAACGCCTTGCCTGCAGACGTTTTGATGGCACAGACGGTGAAAGCGTTCGAGCATCGACTTTACGCTCTCCGCCTGCAGTTTAAAATCTTCCGCTTTAAGTCTTAAACTTTTCTTCATCTACTACGGCTTACCCTTCTTTCACTCATTTTAACTTACATCTTAATATTTCCCGCTATATTCGATAAGCTTGTCTTATCTGTTTCCTTTACTGACACTACGGTTTTCTTTTATTCTTCACGTGGCCGGTGCAGCGGGGACTGCTGGTGCACAGCACGTGGGCATTGTTTGCTTGACCATGTGATTCGTGTGCGTTGATTTGGCTCTCCTTTGACCCATCAAGACACCGGTTTCCCTGCTGGATCAAAGACGTTTTCGCAGGGGCACAATCATGGGATTTTCCTACTGCTCCGGTCCAACTTGAACTTGAACTTCATTGAGTGTTAGAGATCAATGACACTCGGATTCGGCAGTCGGTTCCGGTCATTAATTACTCAAGTAGAGAGAGTAACACCTGAGCGGATATTGAACCTCCTCCGTTTAAACAGCTTCCAGCTGTGACTTTGAGTCGAGCTGCCAAGCCTTAGCTGAAAAACTGCCTTAGCTCGTTTCCCAGTTCGCCTCGTAGGATGCGCCTGGTATAGATGAGCTCTCCGCGACGTCGGCGATAGTCTAAGTAAAAGAGGTTCATCCTCTGTAGCGGGGTGGGGTACGAGAGTTTGCGTAGCCCAAGAACAAATTTCGAGGCTGGTAGCTGAATTTTTTATTTCTTGTCACTTTCCTGTTTCGATAGACGGGCTATGGCCGGAAGTCCGATTTCAAGAATGGGACGGATATGGGAGGTAAAGAGAATTGTAAATAAGTGCGGCGTCCTTTTAGAGAATGCTATCCTTATGACGCCCCAACTGTTGTTCGTCACAGCAATTCTCTTTAACGTGTCCAGGGTCGTTTTGAGATCAGAAGAAATTTTTGTGCCCAGATCCTTTTCCTCTGTCGCAATCTTGTGTAGGTGCACGCCAGTGTGATACGTGCTCAGTGGTTTAGCAGCACCATCATCATCATCAACAGCATTACGTCAGCCACTTGAACTGATGCTTCGCTGCCATACAACCATGAGGACCTATGAAATAAAGAATAAGAAGAGGGAGAGAAGGAGGACTTACCTGAAAATCCTAATGCCCTAAGGAAACATTCTGGGTCAAGGCGCCTACACCTTTTGTAGACAACTTACCATCACAAACAGCTGGCTATCGTGCAAAGATAAGGCGGCATCGGCGAGACAGCTTCCTTGCGACTTTCACTGCCACGCGTCATAATCAGCCATTACCCCGCAGATAACTCAGCACCAAACACACTTTAAACAGACAATCCGATTAGGAGACGGCAGTAGACGCGCCACTAGTGTCGGTTGCGAGCTGTGTCCTGTAAAGGTTCGAGCGAAGCACAAGGTGAGTCACGTGGACTCCAACCCGGAAGGCGAGACGAGCCAACGGCACCCAGTTTGGTCGTCAGTGACTTCATTTCCCGTTGTCAAGTCAACTCCTGTCCACCTCGAGCCTTGCGCCATCCTACACCTGGTGGGCTGAACAAGGCCCTCCTAGGTAAGCGGTGACAGGCATACGTAGCACGTGCCCGAGCCAAGGCAACTTATTCAGTGCTATCTGTTGTTCTAGGGAGCCAGCATGATTATCACCATCTAGTACTCGCCTACGCCGAGTGGTCTGCAAGTTTGCTTGCAACCATAACGTTGCCGGTTCGAATCCGCGTAGGGGTGGGCGTCCAC